CAGAGGATTTGGTGGGCAGAATGCTGGGATGGGCAGGGGCTGAGTAGAATTCTGGGGCAGGTAGGGGCCAAGGTGGGCAGGGGCTGGGGTGGACAAGGGTCATTGCAGGCAGGGGACAGAGTGGGCAGGATGCTGGGGTAGGCAGGGAAGGATTCTGGGACGGGAAGGGGCTGTGGTGGACAGGGGCAGACAGGGCCAAGATAAACAGGATGCTGGAGCGGGCAGGGATTGGAACAGACAGGGGTTAGGGTGGGCCAGGACCAAGGTGGGCCAAGGTCATGGAATGCAGGGGACTGGGTGGGAAGGATGCTGGGGTGAGAAGGTGCCAGGAGACCAGCTGGGCAGGATGCTGGGACAAGTAGGATCAGGATGGGCAGGATGCCAGGGCAGGCAGGGACCAGACACCTCCATCCCTCCATGCGGCCCCCTCACCCCCTGTGCTGCCAACACAGGTCTGCTGGAGCTGTGCAGGCAGTGTGGCAGCGAGGCCCTGAGCTACCTCAGTGCCCTGCAAGACCCAGGGACAGTGGCAGGTGCTGACTGCAGCCCAGTGACAGCCTGCCTGGGCAGGATCAGCACCATTGCAGAGGTGGGTGCCCCCGGAGGGCTGGTGGGATGGGGTCAGGCTGTGGTGGGCACCGCCAGAGGGGCTGTGCCACCCCTGGATGTTCCCTTTCGTCCCATCCCGTCCCCAGGAGCTGCGTCCCAGAGGGCTGGACGTCAAGCAGGAGGAGCTGGGTGACCTGGTGGACAAGGAGATGGCGGCGACGGCCGCGGCCATCGAGACGGCGTCTGCCCGCATCGAGGTGAGGGCACCCTGTGCATGGGGAAACCACGGGCACTGTGCAGGCCTGCCACCAGGCACAGGGCTCAGCACAGCCTCTCCCCCCCCACCAGGAGATGCTGAGCAAGGCACGGGCCGGTGACACTGGGGTCAAACTGGAAGTGAACGAGAGGTGAGTGTTGGTCGGGGAACTGGAGAGAGCCGGGCAGACAGGATGGGACTGGTGCCACAGGCACCCCACAGAGGGCTCAGAGGGGTTTGTCTCACAGGATCCTGGGCTCCTGCACGGGCCTCATGCAGGCCATCCACGTCCTGGTCCTGGCCTCCAAGGACCTCCAGAGAGAGATCGTGGAGAGTGGACGGGTGAGCTGGTACAGGGTTGCAGATCAGAGGTGCTTGGCCAGCCAGGGGCCACCACACACTTGCTGGAACATGCTGCTCCAACCCTTGGCCCGTTGGAGCGTCCCCACCAGCTGCCAGGGGCTGCTGCCCCAGCCCCAGGGTCTCACCCTGTCTCTGATTCCCAGGGTGTCACAGAGATCCTTGATCTCCCTTCCCATGCAACCCCCCGTGCTGGGTGTCTCCCCAGCTCCCACACGTATCCGAAATAACACCCTGACCTCCTGCTTTCCACCAAGACTGGGGGTCTGGGGGGTCCCCTGTCCCCAGCCATGCCTTTCCCCATGGCAGGGAGCAGCATCCCCCAAGGAGTTCTACGCCAAGAATTCCCGCTGGACCGAGGGTCTCATCTCCGCCTCCAAGGCCGTGGGCTGGGGTGCCACCGTCATGGTGTAAGTGCCACTGTCACCGGAGCGTGGAGAGGATGGCAGAGTCCTGCTGTGCCCACAGGGAGGGGACACAGGGGTGGCAGGACGATGCTCCAGCCCCTCTCTGCCCTCCTACAGTGACGCTGCCGACCTGGTGGTGCAAGGCAAGGGGACGTTCGAGGAGCTGATGGTCTGTTCCCGGGAGATCGCGGCCAGCACCGCTCAGCTGGTGGCAGCCTCCAAGGTAGGAGGTTTGGGGTGACCCTGGGGCACCCTGTGGTCACCCCAAATCATAGGGCTGGTGGGGTGTAAGTGATCCCTCCTGGCTGTCCCGGCAGGTGAAGGCAGACAAGGACAGCGCCAACCTTTGCAAGCTCCAACAAGCCTCCCGGGGGGTCAACCAGGCCACAGCCGGTGTGGTGGCCTCCACCAAAGCTGGGAGGTCACAGGTGGAGGAGAAAGGTGAGTGTGAGGCTGCAGGGATTGTAAAGTCATGGAATCACTTAGGTTGGAAAAGCCCTCTAGGACCATCGAGTCCAACCGCTCCCCCACCACTGCCAAGCCCACCACAAACCCATGTCCCCAAGTGCCCCATCTACACAGCTTTTAAATCCTTCCAGGGATGGTGACTCTACCATTTCCCTGGGCAGCCTGTGCCAGGGCTGACAACCCTTTCAATGAAGAAATTTGCCCTAATACCCAACCTAAACCTCTCCTGGCACAACTTGAGGTCATTTCCTCCAAGCCTAATGCTTGGAGCACAGACCTGCCCCAAAACCTCTGCTCTTGGTCCTCAGCACCCTCACCTGGCTGTGCCCTGGTGGTCTCTGTCTACAGCTGCCCCTCTCTCCCTGCCATGTGGATCCCTGCCATGGTGCCAGACCCTGCCAGCATCCTGGGAGCTGCTGGGGGGTCCAAGCAGGGAGTAGAGCTTGAGGGGTGCTGGTGGTGTCTTTCTCCACAGACAGCATGGACTTCTCCAGCATGACACTCACCCAGATCAAGCGTCAGGAGATGGACTCACAGGTAGGATGTTCCCATATTTTGGGAAACGCACCCACTGATGTCTTGCTTGGGCTACCCAGGCTGGGGGAGAGATGGAGGGGCACCAAGCTGGGGGGTCACCCTGCCCAGCTGCCCCCAGGCAGCACCAGCATGGGAGAAACCCAAGGTGTGAAGGCCACAGATGGGTTTACCCAGGAGCCACATGCAGTTGGTTCTCAATCCCTCCCCAGCAGCCCATGGCCTCCCCACAGCACCCACCTCTGCCTGGCACGGGGCAGCCCCAGGAAATTCCTCTTCCCAGGGTGCCCACATGGGTCATTCTGCCTTCACCTGCCTGCACAGGCAGCAGCCACCTGAACCCCACCACTCCCCACGTCTGCTTGTCACCAGAGCACCTGTGGGATGTACCTCGGTGGTCTTTGGGCTCAATAGCGGGGGGATAACGGGTGTGAAAGGGGGTTGCTCAGCCCCACCCCGTGCCAGGGTGCTGGGTGGGCATGTCCTGGGTGGTGTCCCCCAGGTGCGGGTGCTGGAGCTGGAGAACCAGCTGCAGAAGGAGCGGCAGAAGCTGGGGGAGCTGCGCAAGAAGCACTACGAGCTGGCCGGAGTGGCCGAGGGCTGGGAGGAGGATGGTGAGTGCTGCCAGTCCTGCTCCAGCTGGGAAACTGCTCCGGGAAGGAGCAGGGCAGGATGGAGAAGCCCTGCCTGCCGTCCTGGCAGTGGGCAGGCGTGGCTTTCACTCCAGCTGGCACAAACCCAGGGGGAGTTGGCGCACACAGACAAATCCCTGGAGACTCCGACTTGTGGGATCCACATCACCCCTGGGCAGGGGGCTCGGGTGCTGCTGGTCCCAGAGGGGTGGGACAGTGGGATATCGGGAGGCACTGCACCCCCTGACCCTCTCTTCCCCCTCCAGCTGCAGAGTAGCCCCAGTGGCAGCAGCAGCCCCCGGGGGACACCTGGGGCCTCGCAGGGGACACCCCTGGGACCCCGTTCGATGCAGCCTTTTGGGAAGATCCCCACGGATCCGGTGCAGAAGCCTCCCCGAAGCACACGCCCCCCTCATCCCCCAGGAGCCGCCTCCGGAGCCCCGGGAGCCCCGGGAGCCACCCGGCGAGGCCCCGGGGCCGGGGGCTCTGCAAAGTGCACGTGTATTTATTAGAGCTGCTGGGGGG